AAAAAAAAAAAAAAAGGCGGATGTATTATTGTGGATAGCTACTCCCTTTATTTCTCCCGGCTCACATGTGTTTGGTTTGTAGGGCTGAGAAACTTCGTCAGCTTTCGTCAGAGCTGAAGAAACTCCCCGAGTTTAGACCAAGCGCGTGAACTCTTGCCCCGTAAAGCTCCTGCAGATGCCGACAACTCTGATTTGTGATAAAGCTCTCACGCAAACACACACGCAGACACACACTCGGTCTCTTTCTCCCTCTTTGTCTCTCGCTCTCACACACACACACACACATACACACACACACACACACACACACACACACACCACCACCCCCGACAATTCTGCGAAAATGGCATTAATCCTAACCCTATCAGCCAGGGCCGGCACAAAGTTGAACAAGGCCCTAAGCAGAATTTGGTCCTCTGCCCCCCTAAGCCCCCCATCACTTCTGCTACCTTGGATTTAAGCACATCATATACCTTGTATTTTTTTCCATGCTTATGTTTTTATTTTTGTATTCTACATTTAACACTGTTTGCATTATAATTAACAAGAGAGACTGGAATATTTATTCAAAATTCCTTTTTGAATGTGCTCGTTTTAACTTTTTTTTTAATATATATATAGCAGGATTGTCTGTTAAATCGATCAAACTTGCTCCAGATTACCAGTAAAGCCACATGTCTTGGCCTGTTTTTTCTATTTTTTTTCAACATATTACGTAGGTGAATTACACCTTACCAAAGATTAGCTTCTACATGCACATGGCTCTAGTGACCTAACTTAAGGCAACTAAAGTTATATCAGTAGTTGTGAAAGTATTTTTTTCTTCAGTTCACACTCTAGCAGCAAAAATGATCAATAACATTATATACGATGACTATTTTATTCATTTATTTGTTTATTGTTATTTTGTTTTTGTTTCATTTATTTATGGTCTAAATTGGAAGTTGGGGTTTTCCTAGTTGGTATCATTGGCCAGCAGGGGGCTCTTCTATAGCTTAGACCAGCTCTGAGTTCAGTTTAAGAAAAAAGAAATGACTTGCTTAGAAAATGTAAACATTGCTCCTTGTGCTCCTCATACATACTTGAAGTTTAAATTATCTTTTAACCCCATATTTATCCTTTTGCCTCCTTGAAAATAAAATTTCCCATCCATTTCCTGCTGCTTTAGAAGCACACAATTTTTGGGTGCTGCTTTAAGTTTTGTTCACGGATTAATAAAAAAAAAAGAAAGAAAGAAAGAAAGAAAAGCACTTATATTTTCTGAAGCGACAGTGAAAAGTTATTGACTGAACTCTGGTCTCACTAGCTGATATTCCTTTGGGATTTTCTCTGAATGTGAAAATCCTTCTATTGAAATGATACAATGGGGAGAGGGAGCTCTGGGAGGGAGGGAGCAGGGGGAGAACTGAAGGAATTCTGAAAACTAAACAGCTCCAGCTCTCCATTGCCCTGAAAGAGGAGATGGTGGAAGAGGTGGCCTAAATTTAAACATTTCCTCTTTGTCCTGTTTTGGGCCCATTGTCATCGCATGGCGTTCTCCCCTCCTGCACAGGAAGGAGTGGATCTGACATCAACGCTCTCGGCCTGACAATGCCAGGAAGTCTGTCTGACTGTATGTAAATATCTCCGGGTGTCCATGCTTCCCCTGCTTGCCCATGGAGAGGCTCTGCGCTCCTGCCTTGTCCCTTTGAGCAGCTATCACACAGTTACGGGCTCGCTGGTAGTTGTGGCAAGGCAGTGATTTACACGCCACACTTCCCCGATAACTCACTCGCAAACCCTCGCCGCAAATTACAGCGACGACGACCTTT